TAGACCTGCGAGGTGTGACCACCACCGGTAACGCGGACACGGATGTCGACACCAGCGAACTTGTCAACGCCGACGATGAGGAGGGGCTCGTAGACCTAAAAATTCGAGCGTAATTTGTCAGAAACCGATTTCGGAGACGTGTTCGCGTTGCCATAGCCGTTTGCGATCCGTGCGAATGACTTCATTTGTGACGCGCGGGAGTTGGTTGGGCGATTATATTGTGCGTACCTTGAAACGGAGGATCTCGGGCTGGACCAGGGAGAGGGGCTGGCCGTTAACCTTGACGAGGCCCTTGCCTTGCTGTAGAAAGTCTCAGCGTGCTGTCCAATTCAATGTGTATATAGCCCCATGATCGCGCAACATGTTGTTTCGTATATCCTTCCAAAATTCAATCCCAGTTCTTCATTTCGTGCACAATTCATTTCCGGTTTCTTCCCTTCCAGATATTTCGAAACAACGTATTGGGACCGAGGGGGTAGAGGCGTTCATCATACCTTGCAGTGGGCGACAGCGGTGGCTATTGAAAATTGAATGTCAGCGCACGGGTTCATTCACAAGTATCTCCGGTCGAAAAAAAGAGAGCTTACCCGTCTTCTTCTTGCCGAAGCATTGCACACTCGGGACGGAAGCCATGGTGGATTGTCGTGGGGGAGGGAGTGTGTTGTCGAGGGAGATGGAAAAAGAGTCACTTGAATTCACATACCACAGTGATTTGCCCTTCCGTGCGGGTTTCGCTTAGTGTGCGGCGCTAATTCTTCTTTTGGACTAGCGTGGCACGAGACTTAGGGCTTGGTCACATGACCCGGAGAACTTCAGTCGGGGGCGGGTTAGAGGCTACAAGCAATACAGGAAGGCTGAGATCATCATTATCTCGGACATTTAAACGCTGGCCCTGTTTTTGTTGCTGGGATCCTCAATTGAACTTCTCCGCCTTTCATTAATTGCTTAATTGCCCCCACTCCGGCACCACAATCCCTACGCTGCATCGACAAGATGTCGCAAGTCGTTGGCAAGGTAAACAGCTTCAATGCGGAGCCTTCCGGGCCAACCGCGCATACTCTGCATTCAATCAAGCAACCCATTCCTAACAGTCGATGTATTAGACTCGTCTCGCCTACTCGCGCACATGGCACTATGTCGACGCCGGCGTCGACGAACGATCCTTGGGCCGCCTCGCCTCGTCGATCGCCCTCGTTTTGATGGGCAAGAAGAAGCCCATCTACGACCCCTCAACAGATTGTGGTGACTACGTGGTGGTCGTTGGATGCCATGACCTCAAGACAACGGGAAAGAAGCGATTTCAGAAGAAGTACTACACGCACACGACGCGCCCCGGTAGCTTGAAGAGCATGACGATGGATCAGATGTTTGCTAAATGGGGTGGAGGTGAAGTCCTGCGCCGCGCTGTCAGGGGTATGCTGCCCAAGAACCGTCTGAGGGATATCCGCCTCGCCCGATTGAAGAGTAAGTGCTATGTTGCTGCACCCCGCTCTCCGAATGGGCTATTTGATGGAGATTCACACGGGTCCGTCTTCGGAGAACGACATGAACTCCATACAACCAACCCAGCCCATTCATTTTTGTGTTTTGATCACAATCTAATTCAATGTCGTGCAGCTTTCGAGGGTGCCGCCCACCCCTACAAGGAGAATATCGTCAAGTTCGGCAATCAATCAGTGATCGGGAATCTGCCAGAAGTGCAGGCAGCATTCAAAGCCGCCGCCGATAAGCCAAGCGCATAAAGCAACCTTATTTATATTTTCTTTTGTCATTTACAACACCGATCTAAACCGGGTCTGTGTCTGCCTGTATTCTATTCTCCTGCGATGTTATGATCCAACCGCAAAAGCGCATGGGTGTGGAGTCCATTTGGGATATTGCTTTTGATTATCTACTACGTTGACTTGGCCTCGAACTTTTCAACTTTCGAGCCTGCGGTTCTTTTGAAATGTACTTATAGCACATACAATCACAATACCACGTACTATACAATGCTGTATTGTAGGAAAAGGTCCGCTGGATTGGTTTCGAGAAATGGGGGATCTGGTCCCAGAAGTATAGGAAATGGATATATGTACAGGAGAAAGAAAAACAAAACCAAGCTAGCACCCATGTCGGGGCTGGCCGACAACCCTCAACAACGCATTCACAGCTTAGCCTTCTGGCCAGCGCGACCAACAGTGCACTTGATAAGACCATTGGGGTTGGACTGAGGGGCATACACCTCGGCATCCTTGCCAGTGTTCTTGATGCCCTTGTGCCAGCTGAGGTCTAAAAGTGCAGAGATTAGCATGACTCCAAGCTTCGCATGGGAGAGGGTCAAACGTACCAACTTCGAAGAAGTGTTTATTGGGCAAAGCATACTCAACGGTATCCAGCAGAGGCACAGCAGCAAGAATCTGCTCTCCCATCTTGTACATCGTCGCCTGGACAGAGGCACTGTTATCCTCAGCAAATGTCTTGAGGGTAATAGCGCGGGCCGCCTCCCAAGCAGCATTGAACTTCTCAAAGTGCGCCTTGACCTCGGTGAGACCAGTAAAGCGGCGCCACTGCCAATTTGCTGCGACATCAGTGCTAAGCAGACGGTCCCAGGTCTCCGGAAGAGTGGTGTATTCGTCGCGGACGAAACCCCAGAACTGGGAACCAGTGCTCTTCAGCACGGTCAGGCCGTTGATGGCAGAGTTGATCTCGATACCCTTGCCCTCAATAACATCAACTTGAACATTGCGCGTCTCGGGGCCTGGCTGGATGAACGAGTGTGGGTGGGGCTTGCCGTCGATTTCCATGCGCTCCCACCGGTGGGTCACGATATTGACGTGTGCCGCATGAATGTGGCTGTACTTCTCGATGAAGTGTGTGCCCAGGACTGAGCCGAACAGCTCCGGTGGGGTTACGGGGTTCTGTTTGGCTGTGATGAAGATGGTATTCTTGATCGAGTCGGTTGCGACAACGACGCTGTTGTCGGCCTTAGTGTAACTGTGGATACCTTCGGGTTAGCTTCAACTTTTTTTTTGGAGATAAGAGATGTCGCTCAACTGCTAGACTTACGAGGTCTCAATGTCGCCCTCCAGCAGAACACAGACGGTCATCTCCACGACAGTCTGGATACCAGTCTTCTGATCGCGGTGCACCTTGCACACGCGGACATTGTCCTTGCCGTAGCGGGCAGCTGCCAATGCGCTCATCTTGAATTTTGAGTGATATAGAAGAGAAGGGAATAGAGATACTGAAAGGCAAAGAATTGAATTAAGCAGCAGATGCAATCTTATTTATTGTAGACCTCGACAAATTAGCTGATCAAGAGAGTATCGGGCACCTCCGATGGCCGCGATGGTCGCGAGTGGCCGGTCTCCCCTCAAATCCCGATCTTATCAGTTGATTAGACAGTTTTCTTCTGTGCCTCTAGGGCTTCATGTATGGCATGATACTTCCAGGACATTAGAATTCTCAACGTCCATTATACAGAAGGGGGAACACCTTTCTTTTTTTCCCCAGACTTTCGGACAGCTGATTGCACAGTGGAGATCTCATATCCTACAAATCCCGAAATTCCGACCTCCGAATCTGCAAACCTCAACTGCAGACCCCTTGATTATTATATTTCAAATCCCTTATAATTTGTCCTACGATGACTCATGAAATCGCTATTTAAAGATTCAGGATGTACGTCAGCCCGGACTCCGCCGAGCTGGAGCCGTCAAAGATGCGGAAGTCCTGGCGATAGACACTCAGCGCTGACATGACTTCCTCTCTGACAGCCAGAGTATACTCGCGCAGTGATCTCATGGCTGGTGGTACAGGGCGGGGCGAAAATGGTCACCATCTGTACGTTGACTCGCCTCGATGACGAGAGATCGCGGCTTTCTTTTGTTCTCCTTTGTTCCTTTGTGTACTTTCTACACTGGGGGTACATCGGGGGTAAACCGGCTCTGCTTCTATCGTCCGATATATATTGCATCTATATCCTCCGTGGTGAATACCAGCTCAATCATGCAAATCGGCCATCTATCAGGCCTACGGAGCGCGGTAGGTATTCCCAAACAACCTACAAGCAACACAAACCCCATCAGGGTGCTTCTCTCGGGTTGACAACACCCGGAATTAAGCCTCAAGTCTTCGCCGAAGTTTGGTAGTGAAAGAACCTCAATACTCATAAAGCACAGCAGAGTACCTACATATCCCAATAGGGAGATGTCTGCCCTACACATCCTGTCACAACATGTGCAAACATCAAACACACTGACGAATCTAGCGGTCAACAATCATTGCCATCATGAAGTCGATTTGGCTCTATAAGATTGACAATATTACCCGAGACCCATCATGTGCTCAGCCACGCCGACCAAGCTGCTCCGGCGATCAAAGCAAAGTTTCGTCTTTGGGCAGGGAATAACCGGGATATTGAACTGTGTGGGAGTTTCTTTCATACATACCAAACCTCCAAATACTCTTTCCCAAACTTGAGTGGGAGCAATCTCAAAATATCCCAGAACGACAGTATGTAATGTGTATGTCAGATCCAGATAGCAGAATTCTTTTTTGATCGAATAAATAATCCACGGAGTGCATCATAAGAACACAGGCAAAGCACACCCAATCCCCGGCTTAGATTACAATCCTCGAATCGGAGGGTGTGGTTGGTGGCGTGGTAAGTCTGCAACGTCGATCTGACGAATCTTGCATGCAGTACACATTTCCAAGCCTTATGAATCAACATTATATCCCGCGATTGGGTGAGGCATCTATGAGTAAAAGGGCGGACAGACTCTCTCCGGTTCTCGGCCAAGGCTGGGCTGACGGGCCTCTTGCTTCTTTGTTCAACAGAGAGTCTGCACTTGCCAGCTTTGCCTGGTATTTATCGAATAATTCCGGCTCTGCTTGACTCCTAGCTTTGGACTGCTTTCGGGTTATTCGGAAATCCATATTTGCGACTCGAATTACCGAGAAACTTATTTGTTTCCATTTCGCAGACAAACGCTTGTGTATTCCCCCAGGCAATCATGACTTTGGGCGATTTATCAAACCTCAAGAAAAAGCCAGGGGGGAAACGTGCTCCCTGGCTGTTGAAGTTTCGTTCTTCAACAAGTTTTATCATTGCTGCAGTCTGGATGTCTACCTTCACGGTATGTGAAAGCCTAGTTGGCTAGTATTATAAGTCACCAACTGACCGAGGCTAAATTGGAATAAGGAATTCCTCCTATATGCCATGGTAAGCAAAATCCCAATTCTATGATGGGAATTGGACACGAAATCAATGAACCACAGATAGTCCCCGTGATGCCAACAGCCCTTATGACCCGAGCCGGAGTCGAATTTGAACACCGTATGTCTTGTTCCTGTCCTCACTAACAGCCTTTCCTCCCAAGGCACTTGTATACTCACCTTTAAGCAGGAGAATATTGGGTCAGCGTCCTTCTCATGTCCGAAGCAGGTACGGCTCTGTTAATGTGTCCCGTCTTCGGCTACCTGGTCGACCGCGGACGCACACGTCGACTGCCCTTCATCGGTGCCCTGGTCGTATTAACTGGCTGCATGTTGGTTTTGCAGCTGGCGCATTCCATTGCTGCGTTTGTCGCGGCTCGTGTACTCCAAGGCATCGCAGCTGCTCTAGTAGTAGTAGCGTCATTCGCTCTCATCGGCGATGCTGTGACCCAGGAGCGTCTCGGTCAAACGATAGGGTATCTCGGCTCCGCGATTGCGTCGGGATTCTTGCTGGGCCCATTCCTTGGAGGTGTTGTGTACAATTCTGGTGGGTACGATGCTGTGTTCTGGTTTGCATATCCTATTATTGCGCTTGACATGTTTATGCGACTGGTTTTGATCGAGAAGAAGGTCGCTGCTCAATGGACTGGAGAATCAAATGGAGACCTGGAGTCGGATCTGGACACGGCGCAGCGTATTCCCTCTGTCGGTTCTCGCGAACCCCAGGTTATACAGCGAAGGAAGGGACTCGTGATCTTCCGGATGCTCAAGCAGCGCCGAGTTTTGATATCTTCGTGGGCGCTCCTCGCGCAGGGAATCTTGCTTTCTGCTTTCGATGCGGTACGTACCTGCCTCGTTGTCTTTAATACGAAACACACTGGCTAATCACATCAAGACCCTTCCCATATTCGTCGAAAAGACCTTTGGCTGGAGTGCTCTCGGCATGGGACTAATCTTCCTCCCAATGGCCGTCCCGGCCTTCTTTGAGCCGGTGTTCGGCAGCTTCACCGACAGGTTCGGTGCTCGCTTCGTAGCCTTCGGCTGCTTTGTTTTTCTCTCCCCTACTCTCATCTGTCTCCGGTTTGTCCAGTTCAAGTCGAACGAACAGATCGCTTTGTTAGTATCACTGCTCCTCCTTGTCGGAATCTTTCTCCACGCCTGCGCGCCAGCCATGTACGTTGAGACGCAGCGCGCGCTCACGGCGATGGAACTCAGGGACCCAGGAATACTTGGACCCAAAGGCGCCGTGGCACAGGGATTCGGACTGCAGAGCATGTGTCAATTTGCCGGAGTATTCTTTGGACCGCTTTGGGGTGGGTTCGTTGAGTATCGTTTTGGGTGGGGTGCAATGACAGGCACTTTGGGGGTTTTGGTAGCGCTGACTGCACTGCCGATGTTATGGTTGGGAGAAAACGAGGAGGAAAGGGCTTTAATGAGGTGAATGATGGTTACGCAGTTAGGCAGCACTTTTTCTTTGGCGAAGGCAAGTATCAGTTCTGCCTATTGCCCTACATCATACATCATATCATGTAGGTCACCTCGGAACTATACGTTGCACCTGGGTTTCCTATAGCAGCGTCTTTTATAAAGCGCTGCTGTTCATGATACTCTTGTATACTTGGAATCTGTGGCATCATTTGTAATTCATCTCCGATGATAGCTGCGGTGGATGAACCTAGAGAACTGCATTGATTATCATCGTGTCTATTTCTCAATTTCTCAAGGCCGAGGAGAAAGGCAAATAAAGTACATTGAGTACTACACAATGAGGCATGTTTATGGCAAAAACTAGTTGGTGTATTCACTGTGGAGAGAGAGAAGATGTAGATCCAGTCAACTACATGGTTCTCACCTCATTGGGGGTCTAGGGCCCCCAACACAAAGTCCCTCGGTATATTCCACTAGTGACTTGGGAGTCAAGGCATTTCTATAGTCCAATAGAGCCGGTGCATGAATCTATACAGTGTTTAGACTCAGCATCCTACGAATACTTCCGAAATTGATATGTTGTATAGTCAAGTTCAAAAGGGGTTTAGGTCCATATCAAAGTCTCCACTATGATGTTAAGCTTATCGCTTGGTCCCAATACGGCGATTTCCATTTCAACCTGTTTAGGCTCATCTTTGACATTTGCCTACTCTCTCTTCATACCACATTAAGATCTCACATCCAGCACAACTGCCTCTCAAACAGACCTTCGGCACTCTTGCGCATGTCATTTCTTCACTTTATCCCAAGCCCGAGACCTACATCTATCACTGTTAGTATATGAGTCTATCAACATCACATCATGCACCACACACATGTGATCTAACCCAACAATCCAGATCTCTATAGCCCGACCTCACATACCAATTACCTACCAATCTAATCGCCTATTTCAGTCAACTTACCCAACAACCATGCCCGCCACTAACAAAACCTGGCACATCCAGCACCGCGCTCTGGCGCACCAAGCAGACAAAACAAAGCGATACATCTGCCCAGCAGAAACAAACCCCCACCTAGCAACCCTCCTAAGCTTCCCCTCGCGACGCTCCACCTTACCCGAACTGCACGCCAAAACAAGCAACGAGATAATATCCCTCGCAGCAGCAATCGCAGCCTTCGAGCCCGTCCGCCTCCACACCCGACCAGAAGACATCCCCCAAGCCCAAGCCCTCCTCGACAAACAAACCACCCTCCCAGCGCAGCACCGCGCCAGCATAACCATTGTCCCAGCCCCAACAAACCACTGCTGGATCCGCGACACAGGCCCGGTGTACGTGCGCAGCGCCGACGCAGCAGATAAAACCCGCTACGCGATCGACTTCCACTTCTGTGAATGGGGCCACAAAACGACGGAGCGCATTTACGGCGCCAATGTCTCGTCCGTGGCGGCAAAAGCGCTGGAAAACTCCCCACAGTACGCGGAGTGGCCGATCATGGATGATGAAGCCATGCGCGAGAACACGGCTTTGGCGGAAGCGGTACTGGATATCGAGAATGCGAATGTGGATACTGTGATGGATGCTGTCGTGCGCGTGCAGACTGATATCAGACTTGAGGGTGGGGGCATTGAAGTCGACGGCGAGGGGACGTTCATGGCGACGGAGAGTAGTATTATTGGGGATGCACGGAATCCTGGACTCGGGAAGACGGAAATCGAGGCTGAGCTGGGCCGGTTGCTAGGTGTCAGTACTTTTATCTGGTTTCCTGGTCGGGTTGGGCTTGATGTCACGGATGTGCATGTTGATGCTGAGGCGAGGTTTGTGAGGCCTGGGGTTGTTGTTGTCTGTCGTCCGCATGAGAAGGCAGAGAAGGTGCATTGGGAAATCTATTCGGAGATTCGGGGGTCTTGGAGAAATCTACTGATGCACATGGACGGCACTTCGAAATTCATGATGTTGTTGAGCCGGATCCGAGCTGCGTTGAGGGGGATGTTGCTGGGGAGGAGGAGACGCCGGCGGTTTCATACGTCAACTTTTATTTCGTGAACGGGGGACTGGTTATACCGGCATTCGGGGATGCTGAGGCTGATATGAAGGCTTTTGAGATGTTCAAAAGTTTGGTTCCTGAGAGGGAGGTTCGTCAAGTTGAGGTGAATGCCTTGCCCAGAACCGGAGGGGTGCTACATTGTGTTACGCAGCAGGTGGTGTGATGCGGCTCCAAGGTGGACATGCACATACTCATCTTTTACTTGACAGCGGTCAGATACGAAATATACTAGACCTGGTACCTTATTCGTGCATATGCATGTAGTTTATAGGAAAAGATCCCATTATCTCAATTTATATTGCGATTGTGGTGCTGATATTGAGAAGGCAAGTTTTTGACCAACCTATAGGCCTCGGCCAATGTAGATAGGAACAAGAATAGGAGAGAGGGAAGCCAAACGATAGACTGAACAAATCCTTCGTTCCCACGCATGTCATAACTCATGTAAAATAGTGTAAGATATATATCTTTTTGGGGCTTCTTTTGTACCAGCAAAATCACCAGCAAGAAACCAAGACCCCCATTCAGAACCTGATATCTTCCTCCCAAATCCAGATTCCAAACTTGGACAGATATCAGAGAACCCAGGGAGAATTGAAAAAAAAAAAAAAAAGAAAAGAAAAGAAAAGAAAGGAAAGCAGGAGAAGAGATAGAAAACGACACCGTTCCAAGACGCCCAGCGATCCCGCGCCACTAACAGACCAAAAAAAAAAACGCAGGCAAAAAGGACAAAAAACAAAAATAAAATGAGAAACGTATAAACCTCATGATAGAGCAGGGCCAGAAAACAATCTGATCAAGCATGCGGTTGTTGTCCCAGGATGATAGCCATAGCCACAGGCATCCGAGCCAGAGCCAGAGTCAACCCAGGCCGGAACCAAAGCCAACCCCATAAAACCCTCCCGGGACTCCATCACCCCCACATGTTATACCTCAAAGACTCAACTGATCGATACTCCCCACCCGCCCACTCCCGCCAAGCCGTCCCCCACCCTTTGTAACCATCCCGAGCCGATAAAAGCGCTCTTCGCCAGCGGGCGTTCTCCCGCCAATATACCACTTCTCGGGACCTATAGCATCGCGGAAACCACCCGAGCCACTGGAGGAGTCACTCCCGCGGCGCTGGCGGTCTGCAGGGCCGCGGTTGATCGGGATAGGTGTTGAGGTGGATGATGGTGGTGTGGAGGAGACAGATGCTTGGTCGTGGTGATAGTGATGTGAAGGGGCGGGGTTTGGGCCTTGGACTGGACCGGCTGGTGCTGTACTTGTTGCCGAGGAGTTGGAAGAGGATGTGTGGGTATGGTGGTGGTTATGGTTGTGATTGTGGTGAGTGTGGTGAGTTGCGGTAGAAGCGGACGGTGCTGAGGAGCCCTGGGCTGAGTTGGCTGCTTTTGTAGCGATGGCGCGGGCGTTCTGGGAGATTTGGGCGGAGGAGATGGTTGACGTTGTGCTGACTTGCTGGGTGGTGGGTTTATAGGTTGACTGGGCGCGGAAGGCAGCCAGGAAGTTGGCGAGGAATGGTCGATTGTTGGACATGGTGGGACAGAGAATTCCAAGTCTAGAGAGGTGAATATGTAGAAGTAGAACAGAGAAGTGTAAGAGTTCCCGATCCCGTAGGCGCTTCAATCACCTCCAATCACGGGCGTTGGATTATAGCCATGACGTTACGTAGGAAGTTTCCGGGTTATAGTCCCTCTCCATGTCTCCATGTCTCCGCTACTCCACTACATGTGCACATCCTATCAGCAGATCCTAGGTTGTCATTTCATTCTCCCTATGTTGTAGACACTTAATTCATATGAATCATGAGTCTATTTCTAACTGCTTTTCTAACCAGAATCAAAACACCTTAAATCACACCTCAAGAAATTCCCGAAGCACACATATGTCCTGCCATGCCGACTTTACACGAGAAAAGAGGCCATGCGATGCAGAAAAGAACAGAAAAAAAAAAAAATAGAGCCACATGGAGAAAGAAGAAAATGGACTGCGAGAATGGGAAAAAAACATGGTAATTCGACAACAACCATCCCGTAGAAAGATAATATATAAAAAAAAGCTTTTCTTCGTTCTGATGTCGAACACTCGCGCAAAAGATGAACACATGCCCATGTCTATGTTGTGGACGCCGAAGAAACCACCCACCATACCATCTGTCCCGCTCATCGGGGGTTCAAGATAAAAGATAACCAGACTCGCAAACCACTTGTGTAAGAATGCAACACCCACACCGGATGGGATCGGAATAAAAGAAAAAGATAGATCGAGGACGAACGATACTAGAACAAGACCGGAACGGGGACGCTAGGAGAACGAAACACCACAAGCTGAAAGCCAGAAGCGAACGGACCAAGGGACTATCGTAAACGGATTTGCTGAGACATCGTGACCAGTGGATTTGCACCAGCAGAGAAGCCAGGGACGAAGGCCTAGAAGCAATAGTTGAGAGGGTGGAGAGCAATAGTCCTACCCACGGCGTGAAGAAGAAACCCGTGCATGGTGTCTTGCTTCGTCAAAACGCTTTTTCAATCTCATGCTTCGTAGTCATCATCTTGCTTTCCGATCGAATTCACAGTCTACTGTCTCGCGGGCTGCACGGTACCTGGATATTTAAGTCAGCACAAACTGTCGTGATAAATAAGGTAGGAAAGGTAAATAACTAACCATCTCCGCTCAGCGTAGTCGAAGCAAGGTACAGTCCGTTCATACCGCTCTCAGGACCGGTCGAGGCGGGGTAGAACTTGCGGTCGTGGTCGACAGGGGCGTGAATCGGCTCCTGGCCCGCGGCCATGGAGTGGGGGAAAACGGGGTTAATGTAACCGTCGGAAGGACCGTGCTGAAACATCGAATTCCAGTCAACACCCGGGTGATGTGAATGGGGACCGGGCATGACCGGTTTGTGGTCATGATAGACCGGGGGCTTTACCTGTTCAAGGGGACGATCAACCGTCAGCTGCTGGCCATGGGCATCGACACCAGGCTGCATGAGATACGGATTCTGCTTGGGTCCAGCCATCCACGAGGCTCGCGCGTGCGCCTGGCCAGCGGAGAACGCGTCGTCACCGGGACCACGGTTCATGCCGTTGACAGACTGCATCGTGAAGCCTAGCGGCTGCTGATCCGTGTAGGCAGGACGGCCTGCGGCCATTCCGTTGCCATTCACGGCCCCATCGAATTGCGCACCCATAACGCCATTGGAGTGGGGGACGGGATTACTGACTTCATCCTGGAGCGGCTTAGGGGGATTAGCCGCGGCAGCCGCTGCTGCTTGCTGCTGAGACCGCTTCAGATGGGCCTGGGGGTGGGACAAGTGGGTCGCACCGGTCGGGTTACCCCGTCGGATTGAGCACTTTTGGAAGTGACGCTTCAAGATATCACTGCGGGAGAAAGTGTCCTTACATAGGACACACATGTAGGGGCGGTCACCGGTGTCTATACAAATCAGAAAAAAAAAGGTCTGTCAGCAAATCTCGATCATTTTGGGAAAAAAAATTTTCCTTCGATCTGGCTTCCAAAACTCACGTCTCAACAGATGGCGCTTGAGGTGCTTGGCGTGAAGGTAAGTTTTGTTACAGTGCGGGCATGGGAATTTGCCATCCGCATCCTTAGCAGGGATAGTTGTGCTCTTAGCTGTACCATTAACACCGTTGGAAACCGGAGTCGCGCGGCCCGGGACGCTGGGCAAAATGCCACGGCGGCCCTGAGAGCCCACGACCTGCGTCCGTGGCGGTTCCTTGGCGTAGGGGGAGCCGTTTGCGCCATTCACATCAGGAGACATACCCCAAGTCTTGCCATCGGAGTAACTAAAGGCACCGGAGGGAAGACCATTGAAATCCGGGCGACGGTCGCGTGGGGGTGCCGGAGCAATCGGCTGAGGGTAGCTCTGAGCGGTGGATGCGGGCGGAAGCACGCTCGGAGGTGGGGGGTACTGCTGGTGCGCCTGTGTTTGAGGGTTAGGAAGGTTCAACAGAGACGATGGCGGAAGGCTACCGACAGTCGTGTGCGGCATCATAGGGGCCTGAGAAGCCCCGTAGACATCGTGAGTTGACGGAGGGTACCGCGACAAATCCGGACGGTAAGACTGTCCCATATAATGGTGAGGCGCGGGCGACTGAGGGTGGTGAGGCTGCAATGGAGGCAGAGTGTGCGGCTGCGAGACCGGATACTGCGGCTGCATCGAGTATTGTGGCATGTGCATGCTCGAGATGGGAGTCGAAGACATGGGCGTGGAGCCTGGAGGCAGGCTGGTGGATGGAGGACGGGAAGGGTGAGATCTGGGATCCATTGTGGACAGAGGAAAGATCGTGTAGGAAAAGAAAGAAGTTGTTCACGGTAACTCGATCATCAAACCTGCACACTGAATAAATTTTTTTCTTTGAAGCCCAAGAAGCTCCTTGTTTGAAAATTTTCTGCGAACAGAAAGAGAGGCAAACGGTCACAGGGTCTCACGAGGTTCACGGGTTCACACGAGTTGACTCCACACGAAGAGAGAAGTGAAAGGAAGAGATGCTTAATTGAAGAAGATTCCCCACGATCACCCACCAGAAGAAAAAAAATAGGATGGTGATTTATCCGCACGTTGTCACCGTCGATGGTTCTGTATCCACCGAAGAAGCGGGCGTGCAAGTGGGTCTCTCGCAGCAAAAACAACTAGTCCGAGATCTGCTTCGCGTCAAGATAATCCTTGAGATCGAGGAATTGACTCAGAAATAGCCGAATAGAATTGAAAAATTTCAAAGAATGAAATGAAGAAATTGAAGGAAATTGGAGATTGGAAGAATTGGGGGAAATTTGGGGGGGAAAGAAGAGGAAAATGGGGGACAAGTTTCTTGGTAAAGACGAAAAGGAAAATTCTAAGGAAGACCGGGTCGAAATAAAAAAAAAAAAGACAGAAAAGACGAGAAAAGACGAAAAAAGACGATCGTTCCTCGGGGAGGCAAGAGGCGAGAGAAGAAAAAAAATTGAGGGAGAAAAAAGATGTGTAATTACAGTATTCTGAATTAAAAATTACAAAACTTACACGGCCGTCTTCCGAACTATGGCCGATAGCGGTAGTGTAGACGTATTAGGATTGTTGGGATTATTGGATTTATGATTTATTCGATTAGAGTCGGATTTGGATTTGATTTTTATAACGCAACAATAGAAAGGGGAAAGGGGGAG